CCAGAACTCCTCTTGCTGCTGATAACGTTACGTTCAGAGCGCATGGGGACTAGAGTTCGTGGAACAGGTACCACAATTGTTAATAACCTAATACTGGGCCATGACTAAGCTAATGATTATTGGCAAGTTATGGACTGCGGGTAAAGCGTACATCTACTGCAGTATGAATATCCTTGAATCTATTCGAATAGCCGTGCTCACGGATTTGAGTATCGGGACTCATATGGTAATTTGGTTAGAAATATAATTCAAGATTTTCTTAAATATCGTTGCATATCAAACATTTCAGGATTTCTACCTCTTTATTCTCAGCTTTCTGCAAGTAAATCTAGCTCTACACATATATTACATCTCATACATTCATTGTTGAATAATATAATAGCTTGCTGAGTACATTGTACTCATCCTTACTTCAACCCCTCTTTTTCACAATCTATTCAGAGTTTTTGCCGAAGCTGGAAGTTCAATCATATAAGTTAGTTCCATTCTAACTTAATTCATAAATATAGATTAGATAGATGGTTTAAGTCTATAACCAAACATTAGAGTTGGTTCATTCTATAGCTTCTGTTGTATTAGTTAGCCACAATCTTGTAAATACCCTATCATTTTATGTAAAGATATCTCCCTTGGAGTTTTGACCAAATGTATGCGATGAAGATCCAGATTGTTGAACCTGTATCAATCTACTGATCCAGGGTTTGATACAGTTAAACATGTCGGTTTCTGAATCGTTAGTTTTGGGAGCCGACACGTGAGTATTCCAGTTTTGAGGGGATCTAATTTTAGTTTTGCACTTTGCATCTAAGTCCCTGTAATATTTATATTTACATTTGAGTCCCTATTCGAGGTCAGCGGTTAGTTCTTGTTAAAAAAATAGTAAAAAAAATAAATAAAGAAAGAAAAGGCAGAAAGGTGCAAAGGAAAAAAAAAAAGAAAAAGCCGTACCTACAAAAAAAAGAAAAACAAAAGGTAGAAAGGTGCTTAAAAAAAGCCGCACCAAGAAAGAAAAAAAATTATTCATCCTTTGAGTATGTTTTTAGAGTGCAGAGTTGTGCATTGAATCATATCTAGTCCTTAGTGTTGTCGGGTGCTTGCTTGAGTTAGGGTTGAGTCTAGGCTAGGCCAGCACATTGACTAGTACTTTGAACTATTATTCAACTTTGCATTTTCTGATAAGCACAATTGCATTCCTTTGCTACTACATATTGTGCCTCCCAAGCTCCACATATATACTTCTGGTCAGCACCACTTTGATCCTTGCAATCGCCACATCACGTCCTTCAAGGTATCACGAACCAGCCACCGGTTGTACCGTGCTTAGCATTGCTGGTAAGACACTTGTAAGAGCTTGATAAGGTGCTCCATTTGGCTGAGTTGTTGAGAGGCACCACTACACCGCGTAGCAGATTATTAGGGATAACCTTCACTGTTTGCTGCTGTTTTTGTGTTTGCAATGACAGGTATGATTGGCGCTCAAAATCAGCGAGACCAACAAGGTAACAATAATCGCGTGCCCGATGATCCTTATGCTAAGGTTAAGTTTAAAATACCATCTTTTTCGGGTTATTACGATGCTGAGAAATACTTTGATTGGGAGATGACAGTAGAGCAAAAGTTTAGTGCCCACCGTGTGCCTAACCAACATAGAGTTTGACAAGCCAGTAGTGAGTTCAAAGATTTTGCTATCATGTTGTGGGCTGGGTTAGCTGATGATGGAGTTTTACCTACTACTTGGGAAAGAACTTTAGGTAGCTAAGCGTGATAGATTTGTTCCTCCATCTTATCTTAGAGGTTTAAGCAAGAAACTGATGCGTTAAGAACAAGGGGATAAATCTGTACAGGATTACTATGGTGAGCTATAAAAGGGATTGATGCGATGTTGCATAGTGGAGGGAACTGAGGATTTCACTTGTCGCTTTTACATGGGATTTTGGCGTGAAATTCAGGACATAGTTGATTATATGTAATTTAACACTGTCAACCAGTTGTTTCAGTGTGCTATGTTTGTAGAGAAGGAATTGCAGGGTCGTGATCAATAGGTCAAGAACAAGGTGAGCACGTACACGCCACGGGCGAAGCCATCTTTGGGGCTTCCAAAACCCATCTCTTTCTGGGCGCCCCCACCAACGAGCAAGCGACCAGTTGCGTCCAGAGTTTCTGCAACGCGAAAACCACCTTCCCCACGACCTGCAGATTTAGGTAAAGCTTCTTCGCAGGTATCTACCAAGAGTGCCTCATCTATCACTTCGACGGTACGCACACCCAGGATTCAGTGCCACCGCTTCCATGGATTTAGCCATGTGCAGAAGGTTTGCCCTAGTCAACGGGCATATGTTGTTTCAGTGTGCTATGTTTGCAGAGAAGGAATTGCAGGGTCGTGATCAATAGGTCAAGAACAAGGTGAGCACGTACATGCCACGGGCGAAGCCATCTTTGGGGCTTCCAAAGCCCATCTCTTTCTGGGCGCCCCCACCAACGAGCAAGCGACCAGTTGCGTCCAGAGTTTCTGCAGCGCGAAAACCACCTTCCCCACGACCTGCAGATTTAGGTAAAACTTCTTCGCAGGTATCTACTAAGAGTGCCTCATCTATCGCTTCGACGGTACGCACACCCAGGATTCAGTGCCACCGCTTCCATGGATTTAGCCATGTGCAGAAGGTTTGCCATAGTCAACGGGCATATGTTGCTACGGAATATGGCTACATCAGCACCTCCGATGTTGAAGACGATGAGGAGGAAGAGAAGAAAGACGAAGAGGAAAAAGACCTAACCATATAGCTCCATGCATGCTTGAGGAATGTTTAATTGACCAAGCGCCTATAATTTCTGAAGATGAGAAAAAAGGTAATGATAATGGTGCTACAACTACTCAAGGTGTGCATAGTTATGATGTGCCAACTATGTCCACTACTTATGCTACGTTAGAGCAACCCATAGTGGAAACAATTGTTGAAATACCTTTGTCACAAAACAAATTGCTTGATGTCTCTTGTGATAAAGAAGAGTTGTGCGATGCTTCACTTATATCCATGCCACAACTAGTGAATGAACATGTTAGTTCTATAGTAGAGCCACCATGTGTTGAGTTTAAACATGTTATTCACATTGCTAGCGAGAATAAAGAGCTTAAATTGCTATCTTCTTTAAATACTTGGGGTTATATTCAATTTGATGATCTTTGTCCACTCAACTGTTTAGAGTAGAAATTATTTTCTAGATTTGAATTGCCATGCCCTTCTGATGTGATTTTTCATATTACTGGCAATTATGATAGTAAAGGAGAATATAATGTGCATCAAGTATATATTTGTTCGAATTTGACTATACCACATTTTCATGATGAAATGTGTTGTCTAGAGGACTGCATGCTTATAAGTAATTCTCTATCTAGTTCCTCTAGTTGTTTAAATAAGTTATAGGTTGGTTTGCAAGAAGGGAAGTGTGGTGGTTTTTCGACTACCAAGATTTCAGGATCCAACCATATGGCCATCAAGAAATTTTCCTCAACGGATGTTGAGGTAAATAAAGATAAGTTCAATACACTTTATGACAAGGTGAAACCGAGGACGAATTCCAATCTAGAAGGGGAGGATGATGAGGACACAACTAGCTCGGATATAACCATGACTACCTTATGTATTAATCAACCAAATGTGCATATGTTCTACATTAGATTTACTTGTTATATATTTAAACAACCGTTGCTACACAATAAGTTTCGTGTGTTTTTGTTTGCAGAGATATTTGCTTGGGCGAAAGAAAAGAGACCGAGCGTAAGCAATGTATAGATGATTGAAGAAGTTGACTGGGGACCAAACCAAGACCTTCTCCAAGTCTTCTTTCATCTCACCACATCACTTTTGGTCCATAGAAGACAAGAGATAACGTTCTACACGTTTTGGATTCTGATTCGGGCCTCCTGACAGCATCAACATCAAACAGACCTAGCCGCTGATCTAGAAGGAATTTCGGGGCCCATGAGTACTTGTTGGAAAGCTTATGGAGTCTACTTTCAGATGGTTTTGGTCCCACATCAAAATTCCTACCAAGCTACCGGAAAACTGCAAAACAAGCCACGTATCTCATCCAGTCCGAATATCATTTGGGTTTTGGGCCTTGTAATTGTGTCGTGGGCTTAGCCCAAGGGGGTGTGCACCCTAGAGCAACCCTAGGATGTCCCTAATCATTTTTACTCAGTAGCAGTCATCGTTTAGAGTCAGATTTTGCTTAGATTATTCTGTCGAGAACGGTTTCGCCGCTAGATCGGTTTGTAAGACCCCAACTCGTGAGCTTAATCATTCATTTGCAGTTTTGGTTGTATTCTATCTCGTTCTTGTTTGTGTTATTCGATTGGCAAACAGGGATTAGCCTTCTCGGCGAGGTCATTCGTGTTTCGACACGGGTGACAACCAGAGGAGACGTGGTGCTGCCATTGCGGGGCTCAAGAGCGTGCGCGTTCAAGAAGCCGGATCGATTTGGGTCGCGACTCTGCCCAAATCGTTGTTTATCAGAACCTTTCAGAAGATCGGGAACCCTAGTGCACATCACTTAGTCCTTGTGCATTTCCTGTAATTTGGTTCATAAGAAAGATGGTTCTTGGACTTCTACGAGATCCACGCGCTGCACCTCACCCCCAACGCACCTGGCCATCTTCATGCACCTGTGCGAGATGTTCATCGAGGTGAGGCCGTCCATGCGGCTATTCCAGTACTTCTTCGTCCCGCAGCTGCAGCAGTCTGTGGTGGTGGGAGGATGCTACTTTCAGCCCCGCGCGGGGGTGATGGGGCAGTACATCGAGACCCACCTCCGCAAGAAGTGGGACGACTGGAAGAGGGACTGGTTCTACACCGCACTGCCCGACCACCTCCGCCTCCGACTTCCCACCGGCCCACCTGAGCGATCCGCCGGCTGGCTGGCGGTCTCGGAGCTGGGGGAGGAGTATACGACGCGGTGTTAGACTGCCTCAGGGGCCTACGGAGGGAGGCCTGACGGCGGCGATGGTGTTCGACGACTACTTCAGCCGCCGCATCGTGCCCCTTCAAGAACAGCCCCGCGGCGCGTGGGCCTACACTGGGTACAACGACCAGATGCGCACCTATGTGGGGATTGGTGCGAGAAAGACGCGCGGGCTATGGTTCGTCGGGTGCTGAGACTAGACACCATCGAGCCGACACTGATCCCAGACGGGATCCTTCCCCTCTACAGCGACCGCGACCGGGAGAGTATCCTAGCCGTGATGATGGCGGTCGGCGAGGCTAGAGGTCGGTCCCACGGGGGCGCCGCTGGGGGCGGCGGTGGCAACGGCGCTGGGAGCAGCTGTTCGGCAGCAGGTGGCAGTCGGGCCGGCGGTTCCGGCGGTGGCGGCAGCTTCAGGGCGCCTGGCCCGAGCCATGGGGTGGGAAAAGGCCCGGCCACCGACGCGAAAGGGAAGCGGAAGGTTTCTGGGTCCGAGCCGCCTTCCCCTCCACACGGCGGCGTCGCCGAGCACACAGTCGACCGGCCACCGACCAGCCACAAGCGTCCCGCCGCGGCGGAGCCGAAGCGGAAGAAGAAGAGGCTTTTGAAGATAGGGCAAACGGAGCCGTGCCAGCGGAGCTTCATCGAGCCCCCGGAGTAGACCTTCAAACGCCCCCCCCCCCACCCCACAGGTACGACTGCCGCCTTCAGATTCCGTTATCTCTCTTCGCTCTAGCTTTGCCTTTCTCTTTTTTTAAAAAAAAAGCTACTGGGATTTTATTGCAGTGAAATCCCTTCCCGAGGGGGCTCGACAGCTGAGCCCCCCCCCCCCCCCCCCGGATCTAAGCCCGAGAGGTCGGGGCGGCCGGAGGCCGGCCGAACAGCGGTCGCGGATACCACACAACCCTCCAGCGGGGCTTGGGGGCCTCACACTGGGTCCGGCTCTGAGTCTACCACGGCTTAGACCATCCCCGTAAAGGAGGAGAGGACCACTGGTGGAGTTCCGCCCCAACCTCACCGAGAAGTATGACGACATCGTATATGACTATCGTGCTGCTCTCGGCTTCCCGAGGGCCTCGACGATGTCTGGGCTGTCGATCGCCGTGACATCATGGCCGATCGACGGGCCCTCCTCCTTGCTGATGAGGAGAGGGCAGTGGTGGTACGCGAGGTACCAGTAGCTGCGGGCCGGCTGCCGGCGGCCAGTTGCCGCTGCGCGGCGGTGACCAGGTTGGCCACGTCGTCCAACCACCGCTGAACCGGGGTTTCCGGCTCCGGGTTGGCAGCGGGGGTGCCACAAAAGGGCCTCCACCACCTGAAGCGCGCCCTGAGGCGGCGATGCACCCCGGCGCGGCGTGCTCTCCCCCCGTCGAGCAACGGGGAGAGGGCCGAGCCCCCCGACTGGTCGGGGTTCTCCCGCCGTCGAGGGCTTCAGTGAGGGGGAGTCGGAGAGTCCCGACGATGGTGATGGGGATCGTGGCTCCCGCTATCATCCTTTGTGAGTTCGGCTAGGGGATAGGGCGCGATGATCAAGAGCGTATCTTCGCGGTGGATTACGCTAGTAAGGTGGATGGCGATCAAGTGAGAGATCAGGGATTATACAGGTTCGGGCCGCTAGGAAGCGTAATACCATACTCCTATGTGTGGAATTATGCTTGTGCTGTTACAAGAGATCGTGAGCTCCTAGGAAAACCCCACTGTGTTTCCCCTAGAGTTCAAGCTACCAAGAGCCATTCTTTTGCTCGGCGGGTAAGGACCTCCTTTTATAGTTCAAAGGGATACCACATGCACCGCCCCTATTCATCTCATCTTTCCTGGAGGGGGGTCCCTCTTCCTCTGGTTCCGCTCCCGCCTATGCCTTAGACCGGAAGCAATGTGGCTGCTTGCTCCGAGGTGGGTCCAAGCGCCGTCTCCCGTCTGACACGGGAGACATCCCCTGTCATTCCCTCATTAAGCTTTGAAGACTTTTGTGGGCTCATGCTTCCGGGGACGCACCGGCCATGCGTACTGAGCCCTAATGGCCGACGGGACGGGGCATACTTGCCCCCACGCTGCCCGACACAGGACGGGGCACGGGCACGCTACCCCCCATCCCATCCATCGGCCACCGGTCACAGACCGGTCGTAGACCGGCCCAAGTGATTGACGCACGTCAATCACTTGGGCGGCGTCGCACGGCCAACCACGCCGCATTTAATGCGATGGGGGTGGTTGGGACGCCGATCATGAATGTGCCAGCGGCGTCCCCTCCTCCGCCCACTCAGCCGCCACGCGGCAGCTGAGCGAGGGCCTCTGGGTGACACAGTCCCTCGGGCCCGAGGGGTGCGACGAGGCCCCCCGAGGCTCCTAGGTAGGTATGGGGCGCCCCTCGGCTACCTACACGTGGCTAGGGGGAAGGGCTCCTTCACTCTTTCCCCCTAACGTGGGTACCCCGGGCCCATATCACCGATAGAACCCGATGCAGCCCAACTCGAAAGCAAGAACTCGTCGAAAACAATGAAAATAGAAAAGGTGGCGATGCGCCGAAAATATTATTGAACTGTCGTTATTTTGTTTACAAGGCCTTGAGTCATATTTATACCCAAAATACATAATATATCCTTGCCGGACACAACTCCAAATATGTTACAACTCTAAGATACGAACAAGTCTTTTAGGTAGACTCTTGGCAACAAATATTTCTAAAGAAACTATTCAAAATACTCTAATTAATAGATACAATTGCCCTTTTTTCGGACTTATCCCAATCGTGGCAGCACTTGCTCAGTACGTCAATCGATTCCGAAGATGATTCTAGAACCACCCTACCAAGATCGGCTACATCGGATGTTCTTTGTCCGATCCAATGTCAGCCGATGCAGACGTTAGCCGATGTCCCCCCATAGCCGATACATAGTCTGTTTCTAAGAAACGACCTCCCGCCAAATCCGCTTCGACTTTAGCTTCGAATTTGATGCATGATTTACCAAATTTGGTCGTCAAAAGGTAGCACCTGACAAATTCCCTGAGTATCAGTTACAGGATGGAGTATTACGTTTCCAAGGGCGTATTTGGTTGGGTAATAAGGTTGCCGTTCAGTCTAAGATTTTGGCTGCTTTGCATTGTTCTGCTCTTGGTGGGCATTCCGGAATTTAGGTCACTTATAGTCATATACGCCGTTTGTTTGCCTGGCCAGGTCTGAAAAAGTCTGTGCGTTCTTTTGTCTCTAATTGTTCTGTTTGCAAGCAAGCAAAGGCTGAGCGTGTGTGTTACCCGGGATTTTTACAGCCATTACCAGTTCCTGAGTATGCTTGGCAGACTGTTACTCTTGACTTTATTGAGGGTCTACCGTGATCATCTGGGTTTGATTGTATTCCTGTAGTGGTGGACAAGTTCGGTAAATATGCTCATTTTATGGCTTTGTCCCATCCTTTCACGGTGTTTGATGTGGCTATGGCTTATCTGAGTTATATCTACAAACTTCTTGGCATACCACAACACATTATTTCTGATCGAGACCGTATATTCACGAGTGCCTTGTGGACTGAGTTGTTCCGTTTGGCTGATACTCAACTTAAGATGTGTTCTTCATACCATCCTCAGACCGATGGACAGACGGACCGAGTTGCCCCAAGAAATGGTTTCGATGGCTTGCTTGGACAGAGTTTTGGTACAATACTGCTTACCATTTGGCGCTGGATAAGTCACCTTTTGAAGTATTGTATGGGAATCAGCCTCGGCATTTTGGTGTCAGTAATATTTCTGAAAGTGTCGTTTCTGATTTGGATGAATGGTTGAAGGAGCGGGCAATAATATCTAGTCTGTTGCGGCAGCATTTGTTGAGAGCTCAGCAGCGTATGAAGTTTTAGGCTGATAAGAAGAGGTCTGACCGTGTATTTGAGGTTGGCGATTAGGTTTTCCTCAAGGCTCAGCCCTACGTTCAGAGTTCGCTGGCTGTTCGTTCCAACCACAAGTTGACTTTCAGGTATTTTGGACCTTTTCCGGTGCTTGAGAAAGTTGGAGCGGTGGCTTATCGTCTGCAACTTCCGGATGATTGTGCTATTCATCCGGTGGTTCATGTTTCCTAATTTCGTCAAGCATCCGCGCCCAGTCTTGATTTTCCGGTACGTCTTCCACTGGTGGTTAATCCTGACACCATTGAACCTGTTCAAGTTTTGGCTCGTCGGGTTTTGAAGAAAGGAGCTGGTACTTCTGAGCAGGTCCTTGTTCGTTGGACTGGACAAATGTCGGAGGATGCAACTTGGGAAGATGCGGGGATGCTTCGTCAGCAATTCCCTACTGCACCGGCTTGGGGACAAGCCGATTTTGATGGAGGGAGGAATGTTGCAGACTCTACAGTATCTGGTACGGTTCCTGATCTGGCAATCTATGCGAATCCAGTGAAAAAGATACCAGTGCGAGCAAGGCGGGCCAACGTAGGAATGGGCCTGAGTTGTGTTGTAAAGATGCGGCTATATAAGCATCTGTGGTGTGGAGAAGGGGTATCGAATATGAAATGGATGTGACTACACAGTGGTACCACTTCCTCTATAAGAGATACTATCCACCTATATTTCAAATACAATTTTCTCTTAAACTACTTATCCGATCTACGATCCGATTACATCGTTATGTTCGTAACAATTAAATCTTTATAATAAGATCTCACATGATTATATTTTGATGAAAAATAATAAATTACTTTTATAATATATCTAAATTACTTTTAAATTTCACTAAATTACTTCTTAGACATATAAAAGTAAATTAAATAAAGCCTAAAAGTAATTTACATATATTATAGAAGTTACTTAGAACAAAACGAAGGAAACTTTAATTAATGTGTTTTTTCATTGAACAAATTATCATATATTTAAAGTTACTTTTAGATTTGATTAAAATACTTCCTATACATTCGTAATGCTATAAGGTAATTACTTTTATTATTGTTTTTAGTTAATTCCATAATTTGTGCTGATTAATTTAATTTCTAGATAGAGCCATATTTTTATCTCTATAACGTATTTACTTCAAATGACATGCCAAAGTTACCTTCGTTTTATGCTAAGTTACTTCTATAATATATGCAAATTACTTTTACTTTTAGACTTTACTGAATTTACTTTTATATGCTTAAGAAGTAAATTAGTGAAATCTAAAAGTAACTTAGAACAAAACGAAGGTAACTTTAATTAATGCGTATTTTCATTGAACAAATTATCATATATATATATATATATATATATATATATATATACACGTTACTTTTAGATTTGATTAAAATACTTCCTATACATTCATAATGCTCTAATATGATTACTTTTCTTATTGTTTTTAGTTAATTCCATAATTTGTGCTGATTAATTTAGTTTATAGATAGAGCCATGTTTTTATCTCTACAACGGATTTACTTTAAATGATATGCCAAAGTTACCTTAGTTTTGTTCTAAGTTACTATAATATATGTAAGAGTGAAATACATGGCCGGTCCTTAAACTTATGGTGTGGTGTCACTTAGATCCGTGAACTTGAAAATTGCACGTTTAGGTCCGTGAACTTGGTTTAATGTACCACCCCCGGTCCAATCGTCCTTTGACCATGTTTGACCACCAATGTGGCATGCTACGTAGGCAACACTTTTGTGCTCAGCCCCATCCACATATACCTTCGCACATAACTTGCCATGACCTGTGCATTTCAACCCAAACCCCCCAAAATATCCCTAAATTGGCTAGGGTTTCGATGGTGAGGTTAGCGGAAGGAGGCCGAGAGGTAGCGGCCTCGACGGTGAGATTAGCAGTAGGAGGCAGCGTAGTGCAGCGGGGTTAACAAAGGCACAGTGCGGCCGGTTTAGTGGCGGTAGGCGGCGCACTGCGACTTGCATACTAGGCATCCCCATGGATTCTCTAAGCTCGCCCTCATCTTGAAGTCGCCAGAAGAAGGTGTTGTTGATCAATTGCTCGTTGCACAAGGATAATGTCATTTTGGAGCGCAGAGCAATGGTAATTGCTAATCGAGATCATATTCTCTATACATGCAAGGAGAAGAATGAGAGGGAAGAACGATTTGAGAATTTTTTTTGGGATTCTGGTGTCACTATATAGCTATAAGGAGATATACGCGACGTGTTGTGATGTGGAGGGGGCTGTGAGCAAAAGTGTTGCTTACTTGGCATGCCACTTTAGCGGTCAAACGCAGTCAAAGGACGATTGGACCGGGGTGGTACATTAAACTAAGTTTATGGGCCTAAACGTGCAATTTTCAAGTTCACGGACCTAAGTGACACCACCACACAAGTTTAGGGACCGGCCATGTATTTTACTCTATATGTAAATTACTTTTAGACTTTACTAAATTTACTTTTATATGTTTAAGAAGTAACTTAGTGAAATCTAAAAGTAATTTAGACATATCATAAAAGTAATTTATGATTTTTTATTAAAATATAATCATATGAGATCTTATTGTAAAGATTTAATTGTTACGAATACAACGGTATAATTGGATTGTAAATCGGATGAGTAATTTAAGACAAAATTTTATTTAAAATATAGATGATAGGAATATTTTCCCTACTTACTTAATGGATTAGTACTATAGTAAAGTAATATTCTTCGAATTAATACATATCTTAATAATGCTGATGGGGTGTGCTTTCGATTTAGATTTTGCGATATGAAATACCAGAACACTCTCTAACTCAATTCCAGATTGCCTTCCCCGAACTTTGTTCTTCTCTGAACCCAAATTCTGAGTCTCTTCCAAACCCTAGCGAGTTCATAACACGAGGGGCGGAGCGGTTGAGCAGGAGAGAAGGGACACGGCGAAAGCAAAACCACCATATATCCATCGAATCGGATTGAGTCCACGGCAACCGCAGGCTCCAAATCGGAATCTGCTTCTGAAGCCGATCGAATTTGGATCCGGCGAGGAGGGGAGGTCCCGGCCTGATCCTTTTTTTATTTATACTAGCAAATGCCCGTGCGTTGCACCGGTAATTTCGTGGTAGATAAAGTTTAACCGGACGATTTTTTTAATCACAAATGTTTTCTTTTGTTTGGTCAATTATTCCACGTGTACGTGCAAGATATGAAGTATGTTCATGACGCATTAATGTAACGATTGTGTCATGGGAGGAACAAATGGTGAATGCCTTAGGTTAATTTCACGCAAGAATAGATGGACTAAAATTTATATATTTTTGGAGTGATCATGTAATTGATCATAATTTTCTAGTAATTTTAAATGGTTCAAAATAATACCAAAGAAAATTATGTAAATGATTAAATGAATTAAATCAGCCGAATTGCAAATGCCCCTAAATAAAATCTTATTTCGACCATACTTTCGTAACCGGCAAAAATCGGCCCGGCCTGTTTAGCGTGTGCGCGCGAGCTGATCGCACGGCGAGCAGCACGTGGCCCATCCACTGGCGACGGCCCGACGCGGGGCGAACTGAGCAGCCTAGTTGTCTTCCACGGCCCAATGACCGCATGGCCCAACAGCGGTGGCGGCCCAACGCGAGGTCAATCTGAGTTGTCTGATCTGATGGACAGCTCGGATCGGTCCCACACCGATGAAAATCACCGGCCAAAGGGGAGGGTCCGAAAACCCTAATCTCCGATGAATTGCTGATACGTTCTTTCTCCTTCTGTCTCCCTCCTCCACCCGAGTTGTTGCTGACCAAATCGACCACCGGCTGCTTCATCCAGAGGCTTCTCAAAATCAAGAGTCTCCAACAAAGCCAGATAAGATTTATTGTCTTTAATCTACAGCCATTCACAAAAATTCAATAAATGTACTTCTCGTTGTACTTCTCGTTATAAAATAAAAAGACATGTTATAGTATGGGTTTCTCATCGTAACAAAATTTTCAGCCTTGGGGATTTCCACTTAAAATTCAGCAAAGCGCGTAAACATCTGGAAACAACATCCAGTACTTAATGATCGGTAGCTAGAAAGTTTTCATCTGTAAAAACTGTTCTGCGAAACCAACCAACTCAACTCATCCATTATTATCTCGGCTCCTCCTACCACGTGTCAAAAGAAAAACTCCTCCCAACCAGTCTCCCTTCTCCTCCTCCTACTCTATTCTCTCTCCACCTTATCTGCTGAGTACCATCCACGCTCCACAGCCATTCTTATCTCCCTCTTCCTCTTCTCTCTCACCCTCCTCTTCTCACTCTCTTCATATCCTTTCCTCTCTCGATTCCTTCATACAGTCGGCTCGCAGTGGTGAGCGCGTGGCAATGCCGGATCCAGCCGCCGCTCCGGACCCCACGCGCACGAATCCGGCCACGCCGGGGTGGATCCGGCTTGGCTACGAGCGGTGCCTGTCTCCCCCTACGCGGATCCGGCCGCTACTCCATCCCCCGCACGCAGATCCACCGCGACAGCGCGGCAATGGTGGATCCAACCGCCACTCCGGCCCCCACGCACGTGAATCTGGTGCGAGTGACAGCACGAGTGATTGTGGTGACCTCGACCTCCGATGGTTGGCGCTGGCCAAGGAGAAAGGGGAGGGGCGGCGGGGCTAGGGTTTGGGTTTTTTATTTTTTTTTTCAACCTTATGGAAAAATAGGATTTGGCCGCATGGAAGTATGGCTTTTTAGTATTGTCTTAATAAAACTTAAATTTTTGTGAAATAATCTAGAACGACAACTATTTAATGACAGAAGTAGTAAAGTGGAAGAACCGGTGATTTTGATATCAATAACTAAAAGTAATAAAAAAATAAATCATCACTTGCATGTGAACGGTGTTGTGTGTCTCTATACATTAGTAGTTAATCTCAATGAATAGTAGTTTTTTTTTTGTTTTTTCTTAACCACCAGTAAGACTATTAAGATCCTACTATCAATCCTGTAGATTACCACAATTCAAAACAGTCAACAGTCAATGGCACTTGACGGCACTTGACCGCAAATAAAAAAATATCTTGAGCGGTGGGAGAGATATGTTTAGTTCATTTTTGCCCATGCTAACCACCCCATGCTGTGGGACCCACGGGCCCACCATCCAGTGCACTGCACCCCCACTCCACCGACACAGCACAGCCACAAACCTTATCCCAATCCATTCCCAATCCATGGAGTAGACGAGGAGAGGCACCAGACTTGCTCTCTACATGGAAAAAAATCCCCAATCCCCAACTTGCTGTCTACAGAAAAAAGATCCCCAATCCATTCGTCGGTGATTTAGAGCAGCGATGGAGGGAGCAAACGGCGAAGATGTGCCGAGGAGGACATGTCGGAGGGCATCGGGGATCGGCGTCGTCGAGCATCGCCCATGATTGGGCGTCGGATGGAGCGGCCGGCGTCGAGGTCAGCCCACAGTGGAGCAGCGGAAGGTGAGGACGCCCTGCTCTGCCACTGCAGCTCGGGACTCAGGCAGGCGGGGAAAGGAGAGGAGGACCTGTCGCGGCGATGCAAATAGCTGCGCATGCAGGCGGCCAAAGGCGACGATTGAGCAAGCGAGCGATGGCGTCCTCGGCCTTGGGGAGCAGCAACAGCAGCGACGGCGTCGGCGAGCAGCAGGTGCAGTGTCCTCGTCCTCCACGAGCAACAGGCAGCCGGAGCGGCGGCGGCGTCATGTCCTTTGCAATCAGCGGACAGTGGCGTCGGCAAGCAGCGTAGCAGGTGCGGCGGCCTCGACCTTGACGAGCAGTTGGAGCAGCTCTGTGCGGGAGGTGGAGATGGAGATGGTGGGTGGATCGGAGGGGGGAGCCGCTCCTGTCGGCCACCAGCTCCACCCCGTCCTCCTCTCCTCATTGCGGCGGCGACGGCCTCCTCCTCCATCCCCTCTTCCGGTGTTGGGCGCAGGAGTAGGCGGCAGTTGGAGCGGGCGCTGCGGCGATGGACGCGACGGCGACGAGCACGGTCGCGGGTGGCGGTGAGGACTGCGCTCCTCCATCCCCGATTTCCTCTTTGTGATGAATGTTTTAAGAGATTTTTTTTTCTTTTGCAATTTTTTCCTTTTGTTGGCCCCGGTGATTTGTGATGATTTTGCTTCATTGTTGTTGTATTTGTGATTTTGTGATTCATGTTTCTCTCTTTTCCGTGCATAGTTCTTGGCTTAGATGAATCGGATTCTTGATTTTGATTTCGATTCGATTTTGATTTTGTTCTCTGTTCGGGCGGAGGGCATCACCCGTGGATGAACGCGTAAAAAGATACGGATGAAAACAGATTGACGAACGAAAATAAAATAGGTGACGATTGGAAAAATACCAATCTTTTAATTAGTTAAGATAAGATATAGAATAGATTCACGGACGGACGACGGACGCCCCCATCGACCATCGTCTCCTCGCCGCAGGTACCTCGCCCTGCTTTCTTCCCCAATCCCCAATCCTTCATTCATTAGCTAGTTTTGGTATGCTCGATTGGGTTTCAAGTCGGCGACCTAGTTCGATCTGCCAAAAACTTTTAATTATTATCATTTTTTTTCATCTTCCAACTCGTACCTGTCCTGCACAACCAGATTTTTGTGCCTCCTTCCCTTCCTGTGTATGATTCCTACATTACCAACCACTGGGTCAAGACTAGGTTGGTGCCTGGTGGGGGTGTGGGAGTGGGCAGGGCAGGCGCGTGGTGGTCTTCCAAACAATCCCCTCCCTCCTCCTCGTCTCTTCATTATAGAATATATACAGTATTATGATACTATGATGACTGACAAGGAACAAGAGGTTGAGGAAAATGGTTTTATATATTCTTCTTGTTTGGGCACAAGGCAATAGCTTTTCACTTAGACAATCAAATCCAATCTTCTATTAGTAGTTGGGATCAGTCTAGCTAGAAAACTAGCTATTCATCCCTTTTCTATTCATTTTCCTGTGATTAGAATGAAATACTTCTTTTTTACTCTCTCTCTCTCTCTCTCTCATATTGTGTTCTGGTTTGGTTACAATCAACAAACATACAAGTGTTTTTTTCGCACATTTCTTCTTGTTTGATACCCGTGTGTTGCTCTAGTGCACCATTCCAATTATTTTAATGCCTCTTCAACTGTGTCTTTACATAAGAACTACACTGAAAACGTTGCTCAACCATTGCTTCCTGCTTGTAGGCTTCACAGGTACAACCATTTCAGCCAGAAGAGCACACATGGATGGGATCTGTCTAGTAAACAAAAAAAGGAGACTGACGCTCAGGCCATGTGTTGAAGTAGATCACAGCAGCAAGCGGGTAAGATCGCGATGTGCTAAGTTTGAGTCTCTCCCAGAGGTATGTAAAATTTTAGAATGAACTGTTCTCTACTGAATGCGATAAGGGACTGGATGCTGATGCTTTTGTTCAAACTCACTACCAGGACATAGTGTCAAGGATTATTTCACAACTAACATTGAAGGAAGCTGTTGTAATGAGCTCGACATCGACCAAGTTGAGAAGAGCTTGGATTTACCATCCTAATCTTTACTTGGACACTTCAATAGTGTTTGGCAGTTCTGATCGCCAGAAGCGAGTGCCGAGCACTGAGACGTTTATTGACACAGTCAATTTTATCTTGAGGACGCACAGTGGTTTAGGAGTGAACAAACTTGCTGTTATGTTTGAGTTGAGGAAGGAGCATGCACATGACATTGATGGATGGGTTTCCTTTGCTGTTACATCCAAGGCAAGGGTTGTCACCCTCAACTTTTCTCCATATCATGGATCGCATGATCGCAGTTACAACTTCCCATGTCATCTTTTCAACGGCAAAAGTGGATCTCACCTTCAAGTTCTTCAACTTGATACCGTTACTTTGGGTCCAAGTCCTCCTGGCTTTTGTGGCTTTGCTAACCTTACAATGCTTACTTTGGAGAATGTGCTTGTATTGGGCGATTTGCAGTTCTTACTGAAATGCCCTGCCCTTGAATGGTTGACTATCCGAATGTGCTCCCAGTTACATAATTTGTATGCTCCTGAACCATTGCCGCGGTTGACATTTTTGTGTGTACAAGATTGTGCAATTGACAAGATTGATGTTCATGCCCCTAATCTCACCACATTTAAGTATAGAGGTCGTTTTAAAGTTATTATTGCCCTTCGGGAATGCTTGAAGCTTAAGACTGCAAGCATTGTATCCCCCATTGAGGACAACCTTTACTATATTTTCACTGAGCTTCCAAATGGGTTACCTCATGTTGAGAGACTACACGTGAATGTTTTTGTCAAGACTCAGGTTTGTTAATCCCAATGCATGCCCTCAAAATCTTCAATAGAGTGTATCTTCTATTTTTGTTTCAGAAATTTGTTTTCTAACTTTCCTTGTCGTCTTTCAGATACCTGGATTTACTCAGGCCCCTTACAAATTTATCAATTTAAGGCATCTGACCATGAGGATAACCTATGAAATTGCTAAACGCTTTGGTAGAAATGCAGTTCTGCAACTAGCATATTTTTCGGAAGCTGCTCCGTTTTTGGTGGACCTTCATTTGGATGTGAGTTGTTATGCCATCTGCACTTTCATCCTGTTTGTAGTTATAAATACTATGTAATCTCTTTTTTTTTGCCCTTTACTCCTGTAATGTTTCCAGACTTGCTTTATATTGTCTACTTACTTTTAAGTATTGCCTTGAGTCAAAATTTTGAAAAGGGGGGCAGTCCAGCCTGTTATATTAAATGATCACTTAAATCTGGCCATGAGTGGAATGCAGCCACATAGTTCTAGCTATTCTGCAACTATTGGCAAAATACTATTTTGGTTTCTCCATTGAAGGTTTCTGTAACATATTGACTTGGTCAAGAACAGTTCATAGTCTTACCTAGCTTGTTGAGTATCTTGATTGTGAAAAGACTTGGGAGCAATCTTGCTAGGTAACCTACAAAGGTGGATTGAGAAAGCGATTTTATTATTTATGATGACTGAAAGCAGCACTTGCTTTAGCTTATGAGGCTATTGCATATATTTTCCTGATTAAGTGCACATAGGTTGTCATGCTATTGATTTTTCTGTAATGACAGAAGGTGACAAACAATTTTGTGTGCAGATGCTGTGTTTAGATTTTTACGAGTCCCGTCCTGCAAGAGACGTGATTATGAATCGCCCTCACTACAGTCTCAAGAGAGCTTGCATAACCGGATTCAATGGCAATGGAGGGCAAGTTGCACTAGTAAAATTTATCCTCAAGAATGCAGTAAAATTGGAGGAAATGGTTATAGATCCAAAAGGTAGAATAACGAACCAAATGATGGGAGAGCACAAAGGCCGTAGAATGATTAAGGAAAAACTTGTTCCAAAATACAAGAATGGCCTACTTGTAATTCTATAACTTCTCAAGTTATGCATTCTGTTTTTCTCAATGAATTTAAGTTATGTCTGGGCAGTGATATATTTACTTGCCCTTTAACCCTTTTTTTTTTTCTGAAGCAACGATAATAAATATTTTATGCGATGGAGCATTTGCTAAGTTAGAGTACTAGTAGAGTAGTGCAAATGTACTAGTATTGTGATTGTGTTTTTCTTTTTGCAATACTGAAGGGAAGGGTCATCTTGGTCTGAAATGAATTTGCATTTTACAAGCTCCTACGAGAAAGGTAAAAATGAGGGAGGGCAGCAGTTGCAAGCACACTGTTGGATGTTACTCCCTTCGTATCGTTTTGACTTCTTTATCAGTCAATATATTTGACTAATTTTATAGAAAAATATAATAACACTTTCATCACAAAGTAAACATATTATTAAAATATATTAAATGCTAGTCTAATGAAACTAATTTGGTGTTGTAAATGTTGCTAAAATTTTCTATAAACTTGGTCAAACCTAAAGTTTGACTAAGAAAAAAATCGAAAACAATTTATAATATAAAATAGAGGGAGTAATTTGAAAGTTTATTATATGCATTTAGCACTAATTGTGAACAGTTAATTTTTATATGTATGGCTGGAACATTGTGCAGCTCCAAACCTGTGTTTTCGTGGAACAAAATGTGTGCGCGTGTTTTATATTCAGAACCTACTAATATGCTAACCATTCTGGTTTCTGATTGGCTATATTGAGAACCTTGGTCACCATACATACACAAGCCACTCCAGTAGTAGTGCTAGTGTGATGCCAAATTGTTCGAGGGTAGTTGTGAACCTATGAAATCTGATAATTAGCCATATATAAAATATGTATGCACAATTGTGGACACATTCATTCAGTTGTGATAACGGACATTTATATTTACTAAAAAGGAAAAATCTGAGCATCCATGTTTAGTTTTGTGAAACAGTCTACACATTCAGTTGACAAACACAAGCAGTGAGAAGCGAAGGTAAGGACCAAAAGGCCCTCTTTATTTAGACCCATAAGTCAGCTTAAATGAGTTTAAGTATAAGCCTAAATAAATAAATAAGTAGCTTTTATATAAGCCACTCTTACACATTATTAAGCCAAAAAACCTTTTTTTTTCTTATGTGAGATTAAGGTATGACTCTATTCTTAAACTTAGAACTTTAAATTCACCGATATATAAATCATATAAGCCAAAAAACTGACTTAAAAGGCTGAACCAATAAACCTAAACTTAGGCTGTGTTTAGATTTAGGGGTGAAAATTTTTGCCGTGTCACAACGGATACATGTACACATATTTAAAGTATTAAACGTAGTCTAATAACAAAACAAATTATAGATTCCGCCTGAAAACTGCGAGACGGATTTTTTATTTGACCCAAGCAAGACGGATTTATTAAGACTGATTAATCCAGCATTAGCAAATATTTACTGTAGTACCACATTGTCAAATCATGAAGCAATTAGGCATAAAAAATTTGTCTCGCAATTTTCACGCAATCTATGTATGGTGCGACAAACGATAGGCCAGTAGAAACTTAGGATACACCTACGGCTTTGCAACTCTACTACCGGCTATGGGCAGCGAACAAACCACCACGAAGATGACGCGAGATAGCGGCGGCGTTGCACGGTTTGGGACAGCTGGATCGGCTCTGTCTGGAGCTGGAAGACAACACTGTAGCGGCAGGTAGGAGAATTAGACTTATGGCTGGGTTTCCTTTATTCGGACCGATTGAAGGAGGGAGCAAAACTGGACTCTGGGAAGGGATAAAGCCAGTCGAAAGGAAGGGAGAATGGGCCGAGGACTGAAACTGAACTTTTCCTATTTCGGCACGAAAAGGAAAAGGGGATTTTAATTACTTTTCCAATTAAATTAATCACTGAAATAATCTTTGAATTGTTAAAAATACTTCCAATGCTCAAATAATTTCAAGACAAATCCTGAAAATACTTGGACACTATAAGTATTTAACAAAATTATATGCAGATCATTTAATGATTAATTTAATATATGAATAATTACTGAAATGTTCTTTGTATGATTAAAATTAGTAATTGAGCTCTAAAAAATCCAAAAAAATTCCAGAGAGTATAATTAATCATGGAGAATTTAATAAAAATTAAATCCAACCATGCTTTATATTGAGGAAATTTTATTTCCCACATTTAACTTCACTTGTAAATTAATGAACATTTAATATAAATTCTAAAAATAATTTATAAATTCTAAAACGAAAATCAGGATGTGACATCCTTGACCCGCTGCGTCACGACATCCGCGCGGAGAGCTGCAACACAAGGAAAAGGCGAAGAAGAATCAGACATAGAGCTTAAAAATGTTGTCATCAGCAATAAGAGGGATGGCGACGCGAGAACGAGTACCCCGCGATGATATCCGCGGCGCGTCAGAAGCTCCCTCATAATCAAACGCGGGATGGGCACGGGCTTGCAGCGGCTGGATGTGTCGGGCAATGAAGTCTTGAACGACTTCATACCCGGTTAGCCCCTGTTCTCACAAATCTCCAATAGTGTTCGCGAAGACTTCTAGAGAAGGATTGAAGGGAGGTTTGGAAGTCCAGCAGTCTTGTCGGACAAGCTAGTCCTTGGGGACGACAAGAACCGGATCGAGTTCTTCTAGCTCTAGATAAAACCACCTGGACCGCCACTTGGACCGGGATGTATGGCACTGGAGAGATATGTATCTCGTCTTCATGCCATCACGCAGGCGAAACCCGCAACATCCCGATACTTTGCCGGCTTCCATCCACCGGAGTTTAAAGAAAAAACAGAAAAGATCCGAGAAGGGCACTACCCCAATGTAGGCCTCGCACGGATGGGTAAAGATGCTTAAGAAAGCGATGGAGTTGGGGTTGAGGTGCAAGAGAGAAAGGCCATAGAAGTTCAAGACCAGCAAAAGGAATTCCGATGGCGGCGGTAGAAAACCATCGCGAACGAAATCTTCTACTACTACCATATGACCTAGGGCAAGGGAAGGAGCAGTACCTCCTTCTTCTTGGGCCATGTCTTGCTCTGGAAGAAGGGCTCCATCGGTGGAGAGCTTCGCCAGCGTTGCTAGATCGGAGGTGGAAATAGCAAGGCCCGCCATTGGAGGAAGATCGCTGGAGCAAGACGTAAAAATCTAAGGAATTTGGGAGATGAAAGGTCCGAGACTGTTGGAAGGTTAGAGAACTTTTCGGCAAATGGACTTGAAATGGATCCCAAAATCCCTTTAAATGAGTGCACTACCTGACGGTTTGAGTTTCGAGGAAAGAGAGAGATTGCCGCCGAAAAATCCTGAGGCCCATTAAGGGCAGTTGTTCAGACTTCAATTCAAATTCATGATTAGACAGTCGGACTTCTGTTAGTGTTGTCAATAACTCCACATCTTCTCGGTCCCATACCGAGAATGATCAAGTGAGTACGACAAGCCGCTGATGAGAAGTCACGAACGACAACATGAATTCATTTGAGTTGAAGTCGGGGGCTACTGTCAGGGTTACAGATAAGGCATACCTCCTATCTTGTGACTTATAGAATATACCGATAAGATATACCTTCATGTATACGGATTGTTCCCATGAATGTTGCGTGGTAACCGATTCAGGTTATGGAAAATATCTCTACGAGTCAAGTGATTTCCAAAGTCCTACTCGGAAGGGATAGAATTTATGTTATACCGTACCAGGTCCGATATCCTCAAACCTTTTCTTGGGGATCAAGATGATCCACGGTATAAAAGGGACCCCCTGGGAGGGGTTCAAGGCATCCAATTCAATTGCCAGCACACCCACCAAAGTTTACAAAGCCAGAGTACGCGGTGTCAACTCGCTGGGAGATCTCGTCGAATTCCTTGACTACGATCTCGTTGGTACCACCTGTTTCGACTACTCTCTTTGTAATATGTTCTCATTGTCATCAATCTCATATAAACTGGACTAGGGCTATTACTTGATAAGGGGCCTGAACCAGTATAATCCCTGTCTTTTGTCTGCTTGATGTCGTACTATGTAGACCCTCGTTCCAACGTACCCCAATACTCTACTCATCCGGTCCGCGAGTATCACTCGTCGACAACAATACTATTTTACTTTCGCTTGTCATACAATCCGAACCGTCATTTAGTTCGGCTATATTTTCAATAATGCTATTGTGTAAGCTAGCAACACAATCCGAACCAACACTTGGTTCGGCTATACATGATGTTTCATTATCATCTAAACTAGCATTTAAGATATTGTCATCCACCCGGCTTTCCTGAGCCAGAGCTTCATGCAACACATGATCAATATCAAAAATATCTAGCCATTCAATCTCTTTTTAATAGAATCAAGCAACCCATTATATGCAATGTCGGCCAAATCCTTTTCAATTGTATTTAAACTAAAACATCGGCTTTTAGCATCTCTAAACCTCTCAATATAATCAATGACATATTCATCGTGTTTGTTCCTAACCGATGTTAAATTAGACAACCTAAGCTCAGTTTCACTAGTGTAAAAATAATCATGGAATTTTTGTTCTAATTGAGCCCAAGTATAAATAGAATTTGCTGGCAAAGAAGTAAACCAAGTAAAAGCAGTATCAGACAAAGATAAAGAAAACAAATGCACTTTGAGAACATCTTTAATACTAGCTTCGCCACATTGTGCAAGGAACTAGCCTATATGTTCCCAAGTAGTCCTATTATCCTCACCACTAAAGTTAGTGAATTCGGGAACTCTATAACCACGAGGATATGGGACATTATCATAATAATCAGGATACGACTTTTGCTAAACCCTAGCACGATTCCTTACCTCAATTCCGAAATTTTCCCTGATAATATTCCTAATCCGATCCTCCATAGTTTCAGGCCTTGGTTGTGGATTTGATGGCCTAGGAATAGGTGTTTGTGGCGGCCAAGGAATCGAAGAACCGTCGGTTGTCCGAGAGAATATGATTATACTGGCCATAATGCGTGTTTTGTACCAATCCATATACTTGATGATTTTGGACTGGCTCATAACAATTGTTGGCATAAATAGCATGGGTATGTGGAATAGCATGACTAACAGTATTAACAGGTGATGAATAATAATTAAAGTTAGTATTGCTAGTCGTGGTATGAAAACATGGAGAAATTTCTAAGGAACCGTTTTGACCGGCCACCTGGTCGGCCGGTCAGTCCAGTGGTCAGTGGTGCGGTCAGACCGGCCACAGGAAGCCCGATCTGGCCAAGATAG